TACAACAATTAAAACACACTCACAATTACACAGATCTAGGAAAATTAGATAGAAAGGGATAGCCACAGTCGCATTAGCAGGATGTTACATTGAGGAGCAATACTTTACCTGTCCTTGGAGGGATGAAGCGATCCTTGGGAAAAATAGGGAGACTATGGGGTATTAGGGTCGTGTCCTGAACCAGCAGAAACACGTGGAGACTCTGGCAGCACTAACCAAGAGTCGTGGAGGTGGGGTGGGTGTAGAGGTCAGGAGACAGAGAGGGAGAGCACATGGCTGGGTGCCCTCTTTTATGAGGGGACTTGGGGGGTGGGCTAAGCTGGCCACATCCCCTGGCACACCTCCTGCTGGTCCATCCCCAAAGCAATCTGCAATAGCATCAGAGAAAATCCTTTTGTCTATGTGTGGCGGCTTAACAGGAAATGGCCTACCATATGGCAAGAACTGCCACACAGATTTATAGGAGCCTTAACATGGTAGCAACATGTACAGCAACCTCAAATACTTTTCTTGAAAGTAGCAATATATGGTGCCAGATGGCAGTGCAAATTCTTAAAGTGAAAAGAGACTATTGTTAAATCCAAAATATTAGTGAATTATGTCACCAAACTCTGTCAAGCTCTGTTGGTTGACTATCGTATGTGGGAGAAGGAAAATACTAAACTTTGATGTAGCTCCTGTATAATTTTGTTTTAAGCTTAGTTTTCTGAAATTCAGATGTTAACAATTTGTAGCTGATCTCCTGGTCACATTCAATAACACAGAGTGGATTCCCCCCCCCCCCGCTGCCCATAAAATTCCTAGCAGAGCTTTTTCCTTGCTTTGTTAATACACACTCAGTCTTGCACAAACTTCAAAAACCTTTTGGGGGAAAAAAAGACTAAGTTTAAGAAAGCCAAGTAGCTTCACTACAGTGCACACTAATCAGACATTTGAGTAGTGTTTGAAAAACCACAAACACACAGGAAAAAGAATAAGAAGTCTGGAGATTTAAGACATCTGAAGGAGGTTCTCCTTCCTGAAAGCAGATGTTTACATCTCTGATTTATTAGGATAGCTGCAGCAGTAGCATTTCATGTTAAGTTTTCCAATCAATCGTGCCGTTTTAAACATACTATCTATTCCTGATGCAAAACAAAAATGTTTCAAGGAGCCTGATACACTAACTGGGTTAGTTAATCTCTCCCCCAGTGGGGGCATGGGGAGGTACTTTTTAAAAAAAATCTAAAATATGTCTAGCTGGTTTGAATTTTATACAGATAATTAAAGCAGCCAGTTATCAGATCTTGGTAGGTAGACAGGTCATAAAAACGGCCCTTCATCCTGTGTGGTTTATATTAGGGCCACACAGGATCTCAAATCTATCCCATCCCTATTTCTTCATGGTTTAATGACAGCAGGGATATACAAAGAACACCGGCGGGGGGTCCTCTCCCTTTCTCAGTCCAAGACCAAAGGCAAAATCCTCTTTACCCCAAAGGCTGCATAACTTTGAATGTGGAGTAAAATCCAACTAATTATTGGCATCATCAAGCTTAATTAGGCTGCCTGATTCGACTGAAAGTCAGTGTAGTGTAGTGGTTAAAGGGTCCCAATCCCTAGTCTGCTACGGGAACCTCATTAGGTGACTTTGGGCCATTTGCACTCTCTCTGCCTAACCTTCCTCACAGGGTTGTTGTTTTAAGAATGAAATGGAGGACAGGAGAGGAATGACCATTAATGATTTTGGTCCCTACTGGGGAGAAAATCAGGGACAAATATTTAAATAAATAGATCAGTACTTTTGTTACCATTGGCACCTTCTGCATGTGGGCAAAGGGGGAAAACCCAGCCAAATTAGGCAATTATTCTCCCTGCCTGGGATTATTTTCATCCCATCTTGATACTCCAGAAGGGGTTTCAAGGAGGCTAGTTATCTGTAAGTGATCCAGCAGAACCCTGACCACTGAACTGCCACAATACAAACATTGAAAAGACACAACAGCCACCAACTATTTGGGTGCAAAATGCTGTGGCCAGGCTTTTAATGGGTCTCCCAATGCGGGAGCACATTCAGCCTGTGCTTAAGGCACTGCACTGGCTACCGATAGCATACCGAATTTGCTTCAAGGTGCTGGTTCTTACCTTTAAAGCCCTTTATGGTCAGGGACCTACATACCTGAGGGACCGCCTCTCCCCATATGTTCCCCAGAGAGCACTATGATCAGGGTCTGAGGGCCAGACCTGTAGATTTGAGGGGTAGAGCCTGCGGAGGGCAGGGTTTGGGGTGCAGAGGGACTTTAGCAGGGTATAATGTTATAGAGTCCACTGCCCACAGCAGCCATTGTAATAGCGGGGAAATTTTCTGTAGGGGAAATAATATGGTGTGGCTGGGGAATTCAGTGATTTCTGGGAGATCTCCAGGTCCCACAGGGAGATTGGTAACTTCAGTGACCATTTAAGGGAAGACTGGGATATATATTTTGGCAACTCCAGATTGGGATATGTATTTTACCTCAGGACACATTTAATGACTCCCAACAGCAGCAACAAACTGTTTAGAATGTTAGAGGTAAAGGCCAATCAGGCCGCATATGCAAATGTCCTATGTGTTCCGACTGGCTATTGGGGGGAGAGGAACAGCAAACTGTTTAGAATATTGGAGGCGAGATTCAGGAAATGCAGCCAGTGGATAGGGACAGCTTCTGAGTGACAGATCAGGGAGCCAACTGATTTGGGAGCATGTGGAATGTTCAGGACAGTCCATGACCAAAACTGAATTGTTATATCGAGAGATACCGATGTTTTTTGGGTTCTATTTACCCAACCCCCCAAAATACCGATTTTTTTTTGCACACCCCTAGGAGAAACCTAAGATATCTTACACCAGTGTTCTCCATTTTATTCTTGTCTCCCTACCACCACAGCGCCATTTTCTATGTCAGTATCCAAACCCAAAAGAAGGTGCCTTACAACAAGAGTCATTTTAAAGGGTCAACAGCATAGAAGTCTCTAGGGTTAGCTGAAAGGTCAGCTGCAAGTTCTATTACACCAGCCACAGGAACTGCTGCTTTAATCAGAACAGCCACATTATAGATTTAAAAGCAGAATGTCTGCTAGAGGACAAAAGCCCCCTTGATAATCTGGAAGAGGTAATAGATCCTGAACCTTAGCACTGTTACCTAGACCTGGGAATAAACCCCATCAAACAACAATGGTAGATCTGTTTAGGATTGCTGCTTAAATATCACAAATTTAGATTATTTTTTTTACAGGCAGTTGGTATGTAATAAACTGGTACATGCAATACCCTTTTAAAAAATACACCCAAAGAACTGATAAAGATTAAAAAAACAAACTATTTTGTATTTAAAGATTTTATTTTAATTCGCCCCCCCTTACATAATGGTGTTTGCAGTATACATGCCCTTCAAATCAGTGCTGATTATAATGCACACCATTTAACTTGTACAAAGAAAAACAGGCTTTAATTCCCTTTTACAAAATTAAACAAAACCAAAATTTGCATATAAATTTGTAGACATTTACACACATTGTTTTCAGAAATTCTTCACCTCAAGGCAAGTATTTTATAACTTGGAGTGTTACTGCTTAGGTGATTGTACCTTGCGCTGTGCACCTTTAGAGTATTGAACACAGAAAGTTTAACCCCATTTCTCAAATTCCGGTTGTATTTGAAATTCCAGAATTACTTTGATGTTACCATTATTTAGGCCAACTTCTTGTTATCAATAGAATTAAAGAACTCTCCACAGATCTGCTTTAAATTTACTCTCAAAAATCCACCCTTCCTTTGAAAATCAAAAGCCTTCAGTGGCTCTCAAGCATCCATTCAAGCATCATACCATTCCACATCTTTAAAAAGGTAACTATTTCAGATTTTTACAGTAATTTTCTACATTGTGCCATGACTAACTGAAAAAAGATGCCAAATCATTGCTTTGATCAAAATAATGTCATGTGTAAAGGTCTGTAATGTATTTCTACTAGAACTGCAGGTTTAAATAACACAGCAAGCAAGCCTAGGAGGTTTAACCTATGAAAGACTATGACCTGAGAGCTTAGTATGGCAAATGACATTTTTAAAGTGGCTAAAGCTTTAACCACCACTTCATTAAATACATGACAAAACAATTAGTTGCATCATGACACAGAATAAGTAACAACAAGATATAGCAACTACTCAGGAGTGTATCCCTGCATTGTCTTCTATATGTGTTTGAAGACGGAGGACATGTTGTATGCACCTGACTGGAATGAGGCTTTAGACTGGCATTCCTTAATAGGATTTCAAACACACACAGAAGTCTAGATTCATGAAATGCATTCAAAAATTGTACAGTTAATGAAACATTACTTTAAATTCAGAGTCTTCCCAAAGAGATTAAGAAAGCCAGTTTATGCAAATGAAGAATGTGCTATTTAATATAATAGAGAACAGGTAAAAGACATATAATCGTGCAAATATGATTCAGTTTGAGGGTCACCATCTTGAAGCATGTTGCTTCCAAGGAAAAATGGCCACAGTCACATTCCTTGGAATACTGTTTTTAAAATGCATGTCCAGTTTCAGGTATGGCAGACAACTTAAAAGCAACAAGATCCATTGCCTCCAAATCCTCCCTTACTATCTTTCCCCCTCCAACGTACCTACAAAGAAACAAAGTTAAATACAAACTAGTATGCATGCAGTTGCCTTGCGAGAATTAAAAGAAGATCAATGTCAGTTTTAAGATGGACCAGGGCGCTAGTCGGGGGGGAGCTCTCAGGTACGGAGCTCCGGAAGAGAACCTCTAGGGGGCGGGGCGGTCACGTGGTGAAGCCCCGCCCCCTTCTTTACCCCGCCCTCTGCTTCGATCCTCATTCCGTTTGGGAATGAGGATGAAGCAGGAGGGTAAGTAGCCGGGCCTTCTGACACACTTCCGGTGATGTCAGGGGGTGTGGCCTTCTGTCACTTCCGGTGATGTCAGGGGGCGTGGCATATGCAAATAAGTTATGCTAATGAGTTATGCTAATGAGCTCCGGCAGCTCTTTTTCTACAACAAGACCCCTGAGATGGACAGTTTGAAAAGTGTGCCTTGAAGTAATATGCAACATTGTTTTAGCTACAGATGATTTCAAAGGGCCTGGCTGTACTGTTTGGGTACAATGCTGGCTTTTTAAAAAAAGACAGAAGGCTGTGTTTCCTTCACAACACACAAAAGTAGATTTCTCAGGGTGCTCATAAATAACTTTAAATATAGCTCCAACATCTGATATGGTATGTGCTCTTCATGCTAGTTCCCTTCTTTTTTCCCCAAGCTTCTGATTGGAGGAGAGCAGTGAGCAACTGGAGAAACTAAACTAGCTATGTAACAGTTTTAGGATTCCCTAATGAAGTAGCCACAGCAACTCCCAATGCCAAGAGACCATGTTACTTCAAAAGCATCTTGAGACTTTTGTACAACAGAAGACAGTTTGATTCTTCGGCCCAACACCTTCAAGTCCCCATTTCCATGGGTTAATAGACTGGACTGAAGTTCATGGAAAGCTTGCATCATCCATCTCAAAATGAGATACAGTGACTGCCATTATTGTTCTCCCGTCTATAAGAATTACACAACTGTTTCAAAGATAAAAACGTGGTTCAAAAGTTCTCTCTCTCTCTGACCTAGAGCTAAAAAATAAACCCAACTCTCATGTGATTTGGTAACTGCATTTAACTTTCATTCTTAGAGAAAAGTGATAAGACAATACTTCTATGCATTTTTACAAACTGTATGATGTGCACATATAACTGAATATCATTTTCCCCTGGTCCAACATTTAAGTTCAATAGTGGAACACTACAAATTGTGCTTAAAGCATACAGATACATGATAACTAAGGATGATACCTAGAAACTTTAAGTTTGACCTGGATTGAAACCTATTCAGTTGCAGTCAGCTGAGCACTACATTTGAGGAGCATATGCAAGACTCAACACCCTTTGAGAAAACATGTTAGCAGATGCTTCAGTTTTTAGCCTCAGTGAATGCTCCATGTTTCCTGTCACTGAAATTAACAGCAAACCTCTTGCTTGTGTGCCAGTCTCAGTGTGTACATCAGAACTCCACAGAGTTTTGGATCATAGTACTTGACTTCTAGTCCCAAGGACCTAAAAATCAGTTTTATTGCAAGACATTCCAACAAGATGGCCTTAGGAAAAAAAGGTTTAATTCATTCAATAACCACAACAACACACACCTTCTTATAGGTAAGACAACAGTTGTGAAAGGAGAGTGTAAAAAATACAGACTTTCTTTATATACACCAATATATTCCTTTCACAGTCATTATAATATACTCCATAAGGCACATGAGTCATTGCTACTATTAGATTAAATACAACCAAGATCATCTCTATTCCAATTCTTTCCTTGCAAAAACCCACAACCCAGAAAGATTTAAAACCAAATGCAGGACTTGATTAAAGGGGGGGGGGGAGAACAACACTGCTTGAAAATTTCTGTGATGCGTTTCTAAACATGGGGGGTCAGTGAGAGGAGGAGGTTGAAAAAAATACAATATTCTCTCTGACAAAATTTTAGAACTGAGAACTTAGAGGAGTGACAACAGCAAAGCTATGTGTGTGTGTGCACACATGCACACACAGAGGGGATACTATTAAGTAGGATACCATAGCAGCATGGAAACTTTGAATACAACTAGTTTAAGATGTTTCCAAAGCTAAGGAATATTAAACACAACTGAGATTTCACCATTTAAGAATGTATACCATTAATAGCCCTGTATGTGTCTTAAAACATTGTAGAAAATTCTTTACTTGAACAAGAACCACTCCATATTATTAAACTACAGAAAAGACCTCTGAATATTACTACAGTGCATTATTATCCCCCTGAAAGGAACAGTACAGCACAGATTAAAGTTCATCTAGCACAAGACTTAATACCTGTGAACTGCTGCTTTGGCTTGAATTTAAAGAATAAAGGACAGTCCAACCACTCCAACTTCCAGTGAACCAACAGGAAATTAAAAAGAAATCAAAGCTTGCTGGAATCGAAGCTGTATTTCACTTGTAATTTTAGGAGGTAAGTGAGATAGCTTTGATTGGTTCTACTGGGGATTGGATCCCAGTCCAGACATGGGGAAGCAAAGAATAGACATGATTGACCACCACATAACAAAATCTGAATTCCATACTAAAAAAAATAAATAATTGAAAAGAGTTCTTCGAAAAACAGTGCTTTAACATTATATTCTTAATTCGAAGATACTGGTGCACTATATTTTCAAGTACACTTACGTTTCCAGTAGCGAGTGCATCTATATGCTGTTGAACAGTGTTAAATGACCCAAGAAAGGGAATTAACAGAGCAGTTATACCCATCACTACTGTTACTAACCAAACTGAAGAGAGGATCAGTGCATAGGAGAAGGTACAGCCAGGAGAGGAGTACAGAACACATAGCAATTCATACATTCTCTCCTGGACAACTCAAGGTCACGGCAACACTTCTAGCCACGTCACGTTAAAGGGAATTCTTTTTTCTCATTCAAAGAGTAAGTGGAGGGTAATATTTTTCTCTCTGATTATATCAAGATGAGATGTTTCTGAGCAGTCTGAAGAACGGAACTACCTAAGAATCTTACTCCATTCCGTTTTCTTCATAGTTGAAAAGCTAGTTATTTTAATCAACATTATGCTGTATATGTGACGAATCAAGACAGACAGATAACCACGGCAATCCTGAGGAAATGCAGCTCCTCAAAGAAATGCAGTCATCTATTTTTATCATTAAGGAGCCGATTTGACTCAGAATGCTTTCCTTGACCTTCTAAACACTATGTCTTTCTTCAGAATGGCCTAAACTATATTCAAACACCTGAAGTGCCTCTGAATTGCATACCCTTTAGTAAATTTAACCTGTCTTGGGTCATCTATACAAAAATGTTTCAGCTTTGCCCCAGCATTGTTGCTCCACCACAAAACACATGAATAAAAGCAAGATTTCCAGGGCTGGGTCATGTAGAATTAAAGCTCTGTGGCATACATTAATTAATGTTGTGGCATTTTGTTAATGAAGACCCTTAGAAAGATGCAAATTAAATAAAGGTCAGAAATCAGTAAAAGTATCAAATCAGGCAGAATAACTGCCTGTATAATATTCTGTAGCATTGGTTCAACAGCACTAAAAAGTACACTTCAGTAACTGCAAGAACGTGGGATTTTTATAAGACAGAAGTCAAAGTTTTATCAATCTCATTTACTAAATTATACACAAATTTCTTCCCCTTCCCACATTTTTAAAAATAAGAATTGTTTGGCTTATTTAGTATATGGTATCAGTAGCACTCAGCTACATTAAAAACAATAATAACTTTTCTACCAATAATTATATCCTATGTGTGTATAACTTTTGGAAAACCATCCAAAAGAACAACATTTGACTTATAGCTTTCCACCTCCATTTTATATGCTTTAGCAGCCAATTAGAATCATGGTACTTCACAAACAAACATATGTGCTCCACAACAAGTACAGTATTTACAATGCAAGAAATTGCCAACAACAATCAGACAGCACTCTACAAAAGAAAGCTGCTCTCGGGGGAGTTGTTGCCTTGCTGCTCTTGTTCAGTCTTTATCCAAATTTTAGAAAATGGAACTAGATTTCAAAAGGAAGGGAGCTGCATAACAGTATTAAAAGTTCTCCTTTTTGCGTAGATGCTTGGTCGACGAATAACTACTCCCTTAAAAAGCAACAATGTCCAGTCCACTCCAAAGAGAGCCAGCTTAGGAAGAGATGTACCCTGAGCTAACTAAAATCCTCTCACAGTGCAAAGAAAGTTGCATTGCCCATTTCCAACTCTGGTTTTTGCAAAAGCAAAAAAGAGTAAGAGTTGCAGCATTCCAAGTGGCTAATATGAGCTCTGGGGGCACTGCAAACATTACAGCAACAGCTTCTCCAGATTCACCAAGTTTATGTCCATCCACTGGATATTCAGCAGAATTATCTCAATGGCTTCTCGGACACATTGGAGTTGAGCAGTCTCCTCCGACTTAGACTCAAAGAACGCCTTCACCTGTAGAAACAAAATACTTGTAAAAAAATCAGAAGGATAAAACAAACTTTTCCTGGTGCATCCTTGGTAGCCTAAAAGTAAGTGGGAAGAAATCTTCCATTTAGAATTGAATGCCAATTACACTGTAAATACTGAAAATCAGAATAATCGGAATAACGATCTTATTACACACTTAAAAAGTTCAACAGCAGTCTCTTAAATTTCTAAAGATGTTGCATAAGTTATTACTTAGAGACTAACAAGAGTACAAGAACAGACAGTGGAAGCTGAGATAATTTAATGGCACAGGACCTTGACCCCTACTATGCGTTCTCTTGCAACCATGTCAATGACAGTACTCCCCCCCCAAAAAAAACCCGTACTTTTGTGAACATTCTTTTTTCAACAAACCTCACGCAAATGTTCTTCTGTTGAGAACTGATGAGTTGTTGAAGTCACAATATTTTGAATTGTGAATGATCCACTGTGAAATCTGAAAAGAGAATGAATAAAGATCAACTAGTATTTATTTTAAAAATATTTAATTCATGCCAGATATGTTGAAGGTATATGGTATGTGACAATATTCAGAACAACCAGTTTTATAAATAGGAAGCCAGGAGATTTATCTTAGCTGGCAAAACAATATATATAAAATGCCCTGTAGAATCTATGGGACATTGTTCTAACTCAGGAGGGCAGGCAACAGCAAAGCTAGAGAACACTCTCCAAGAACACCTACAAGCTTCACAGACACGGTGTTTTGAATTATGCTTGGCAGCTAAAGACAAGACACTGAAATAGCAGCGTACTGTGAAAGGAAGGGTTACCGCTCAGTTACTGAACATCTGCTTGGCATGCAGAAGGCCTCAGATGCAACCCCCAGCATCTCCAGTTAAAATGAGCAGGTAGTAGGTGATCTGAAAGACCTCTACTTTGGAGAGCTCCTACAAGTCTGAATAGCCAATACTGGCTTTGGTGGACCAATGGCCTGATTCAGTAAAGGCAATTTCATATGTTCATATGTGCTCTTAGTCAGTAAGCATATATTGCGCTTCCATGACCAAGAAAGTCTCCCTGTACACATGCTGCAAGTGGTTAAGACGCTGAACTGCAGGCTGTGGAAGGTTGGTAGTTCAGCAGTTCGAGACCCGAGTGTGCTACATGACGGAGTGAGCGCCCGTCTCTAGTTCCAGCTCCTGCCAACCTAGCAGTTTGAAAGCAAGAAACTGCAAGTAGATAAATAGGTACCACTTCAGTGGGAAGGTAACAGCGTTCCGTGCGCCTTGGTGTTTAGTCATGCCGGCCACATGACCACGGAAATGTCTTCACACAGCGCTGGCTCTTCGGCTTTGAAATGGAGATGAGCACTGCAACCCTGGAGTCGGATTCGACTGGCTTTCGAGCAAGGGAACCTTTACCTTTACACATGCTGCAGTAGTCAAATGTTTCAGAGAATGGGGGGGGGTCACTTAATCAGATGCTGGATGTGAAAACCTGGTCAGCAGATACACACACACACACACACACATGTTACCTGTCAAGACCACACCACTTGCATTTCTATGTAAAAACTCAGAAGTATGTAAGATGGTCAGTCACTACAGCTATTATAAGTGATGTTAACTGCAAACTGTTCCGTGAGAAAATGCTGAGAGATTCAAGAATAGTTTGAAGATGTAGAAAACTTAACAGTATTAGTAGTACCTCTTAATTTAAAAACCTAGCCCTATGTTGTATGGTTTGTGTACTGAAGTAGAGTATGTACACCTACCCATACATACAGAGTAAAACAGAATTTATTATCACTACAACTCAAGAAGAGTCTTACTTTCTTATAAGTTGTTCCCAGTTCTCTTTGACGAAGTCCCAGGCCACTAAGTGCCCGGGCAAAGTCTGGCTGACTGTTCTTATAACGAGTGAAAGATCCTGTGATCTAATCTGGATTCCTTCAAGACTTGTTTGCATCAACCTGGGGAGAGAAAGCAGCCTAAGTCAGAGACTTTTCAGAGATACACCATCATGAGTCATCTGAAGTGGGTGCAGTGCAATGCATTGCAACTGAGGAATTTCCTTGGCTCCATGCCATGCAGCAGTCAAAAAATTTATACTCTAACCTAGGCAGTGTTCTTTTCCTCTTCGCTAGATAGATTCCTATCAAAATTCTGATCCTTCTATGATTTTCTGTGTGGTCACAGATCAAGATTCCAATGACCTGATAAAAATCCTACACAAAGTCCTGAAGCACACTGTGGAAGTCTTTCAGAGGCATTATTATTGTCTAGTTAGTGGTGTTCCCCAAGTAGTCACACACCTCAGCATATAAATTCTGGCAGGTCAAATTTATCTTCATTTCAAGGTGAATGCCATGCTCCTAACTGTTCCTTTCCAGCATGGAAAGTAGTCTGCTGCAATACCAGCATTATAAGCATCACAACCCTATGAAATACACTTATATCAGAGTGCCCAGTGCTTTAAAAAGGATAGGAGGAACACTGGAAACTACATGATCCAGAATTTCTTGAGGCTGCTGAGCATGCAAAGGCAATTTCAGAGAGTCACTTTAGCCCTACACAGACACTTTACAAATGTACGCAGGGAAGGTTAGAATCACATCTACTGGCTCCACCCTTTCACCCAGCCTCCATGTGTTAGAGAAACCACCCTGAATGGGCTCATGCACTCAGTGTGGCACGCTACATGTGTGCAATCCATGACCTATATTTTTCCAAGGTACTTTCATACATATAGAGCCTATATGTGTTGGCTAGGGGTGTGCATTCAGTAAAGCCAAAACAAAAAAACCTCTGAAAAATGTATTTTCGGCATTTTTCAGGTATTTGGCATACTGAACCAGATTCCCTGATCTGATTCGGCTGCTGAATATTGAATGCCAACCCCCCACCCCGAAAATATTAGGCTTTTTTTGGCTTTTTTTTTTGCATTACCGAAAACAGGCATGGCAGGGGTTTAAACTTTAAAGGGCTCCCCTTACCTTATTTTTCCCACTGTTATTGTCTCTTTCCCGGCCTTTGCTCTGCTTTCCAGGAGGGAGGGGGAAGAGGGACCTTACAGACAGCCAATCACTGCAATGCATTAGCAAATGCCACTACAGCTTGCAAGGCTGTTATTGCTGCTGGCTTCATTTGTTGAAGCCCAACTACTAGCTTGCTGCTTTCCTAGGGGGAGGAGCACTGGCCAATCGGATTTGGCATACTGTTCTCTGGCCAATCACAGAAGTTTGTTCCTTTTTGAAATACTTCTTTGTATGACCAGAGAGCATAAAAGCAGGGGTCTCTGGCTGGCTGACTCCATTCCTGTTCCTGCTGCTGAGAGCGAGCCTGGGTTGGAGATTGTGTGGCTGGCTTCTGCTTCAGCCACTGCTCTCAGCCTGCTTTCCTGCTGCTGACTATTGGACTACTTCAGATCACGATCCATCCTGCCTGCTGGGCAACAGAAGAAGACTGAAGACATCACTGGTTTGACTTATCAGGGCCACTTAAAAAAAAATCTTATTTTGTTGTGGGCTGGTGGGTTTGGAGCCTGGGTGGTGGTGGGTAGGCCTCTGGGCCCTAGGGCCACTCAAGCCTCTTCCTGGTGTTTTTTTTTTTTTTTGG